AAGCTCAACACTAGCCTTTTCCGCTATGTCACGTTTAGATAAAAGAGAGTCATTCTTAATTTCAAGCTTTTCATTCTTACCTCTAGTCTTTCTAATGATCTTAGTGTATTGATTTAGCAATTTAACAAGATCATCATATGAAGGTGATTCAAATTCATCATCATCACTATCACTATCATCATTGCTAGCATGTTCATCACCACTACTATCATCATCATTTGATACCTTTCATTCACCCTTGGCCATAAGGCATAGGTGTGTAGAGGATGATGGCGGTGGTGTCGGTGAAGATGATGAAGAGTCAATTACAATAGTGGCCACCTTCTCATTCTCACTATCATTATCGGAAGAGCAACTTGATAAATCAATATCCGTGAGCCAATCACCAACGATGTATGCCTTGCCATTTTTCTTTTTCTTGTGGAAGTCCTTCTTGCCATCCTTCTTCTTGTATGGCTTGTTTTTCTTCTTTTCATCTTCTTCCTCATTGCTTGAGTCATCTTTCTTGCCCTTGTTCTTATTCTTGTACTTGTCTTTCTTGGGCTTGGTACATTGATGTGCTAGATGACCAAGTTTTCCATAATTATAGCAATCTATCTCGGAGATTGGCTTCCTTCTAGTGCTAGTGAAGAACTTCTTTTTCTTCCTATCAAACTTGACGATATTCTTGTTGAGCTTCTTTAGCATCTTGGCGGTTCTTCTCACCATGAGAGCAAGACTTGCATCATCAACTACATCATCACTTGAGCTCTCATACTCAATTCTTGCTTTGCCCTTCTCTTGGCTAGCCTTGAATGTTAAGTCTTTGTCTTTCTTCTTGGTAGAGGGTGATCCATCTTGTGGTGTGATGTGCATGTACATCTCATGGGCGTTGATCTTTCCCAAGATTTGAGTTGGTGTAGCGGTGGAAAGATCACCTTGATGAAGCACGGTCACAATATGTCCATATTTGTCAATGGGGAGGACACTCAAGATCTTTCTTACAACATCGGATGGTTGTATTTGTGTAAGTCCGAGCCCATTGACTTCCTCTACAAGAACATTCAAGCGTGAGTACATGTCATTAGCACTCTCTTTAGGAAGCATCTCAAAAAAATTAAGCTTTTTCATTACGAGATGATAGCGTTCCTCACGCTCGCTCTTAGTTCCCTCATGGAGCGCATAAATGTCCGACCATAGTGCATGGGTGTCCTTATGGTTCCTCACCCGATTAAACACATCTTCGCAAAGGCCTCAAAAGATGGTGTTTCTAGCCTTTGCATTCTATTTTTTGTAGTTCACTTCATCGCATTGAAGGTGCGTGAGATCCCTAGGTTTTGGGAAACCATGAGAGGCGGCTCTAAGAATTCCAATATCTAGGGCTTCTAAATACGTCTCCATGCGGATTTTTAATAGGAAAAATCATCTCCCCCAAAGATAGGAGAAGGTCCATCCCTGTGGAATATCTTTCTCTAGGCGGTTAAGCCTAAATACATGAGCACGATGCTCCGATACCAATTGAAATGATCAAGATGCCCAAGAGGAGGGTTGAATTGGGCTAATTCTAAAATTCTTTGCAATAAGTAAACTCTACACTTAGCCCACTTCACCCCTTGTGCCTAGAATGTGTTTCTAATATTCTACCGTACAAAAGTTTTGCAACCTAAGTTCCAATCCTACTCTAGCATATCAATTCTATGAATGTAAAGACAAGAATCGAATTGCTCAAAGTAAATACTTAAAGTAAAGAGAGAAGGAGGAATGCAGCGATATTTTGCCGAGGTATCGGAGAGTCACCACTCCCCACTAGTCCTCGTTGGAGCACCCGCGCAAGGGTGTAGCCCCCCCCCCTTGATCCGTGCAAGGATCAAGTGCTCTCTACGGGTTGATTCTTTGACACTCCGTCGCGGTGAATCACCCACAACCGCTCACAACTTGAGTTGGGTCATCCACAAGCTCCACCAGATGATCACCAAACTTCCAATCACCATCAAGCCGTCTAGGTGATGGCGATCACCAAGAGTAACAAGCAAGAACTCTCACTTGACCACAACAAGCCTAATGAGAAGGGTGGGTGCACACTTGCTACTCTCTTTGAACTAATGAGGCCTCAATCTTGGATTCTCAAATCATAATCACCTCACTAGGACCTTGCTCTTCTTGGCACTCTCAAGTGTGTTTCTCAGCTGTTGAAATGAGCAAAAGTACTCACTTGAATGAATAGAGTAAGTATTTATACCCTCTCATTCAAAACGAACCGTTATGTGTCTCTGTGGGGTGACCGGACGCTCCGGTCAGTTCTCCCCGCCACCGAGCAGTTAAGTTGTGACCAGACTCTGACCAGCGTCCGGTCAGTATTGACCGGACGTGTCCGGTCATGAAAACTGCTCTCTAGACCCTTACTGGAGTTGACCGAACGCTGGCACCCAGCGTCCGGTCGCTTTTCACTCAACGTCCGGTCCCACCAGACAACTTCTGCTTGATCAAATGAACTGATCGGACTCTACTGCCAACGTCCGGTCACACCGAAACCAGTGTCCAGTCAACATTTGACCCTCCATTCACTTCCAACTCGCAATCATATGTGAATGAAGTTTCTCCAATTGATCTTAGGGCTACTTAGAAGTTACCTAGTGTTAGATTTGACAAATGTGCACCACACCTAACCCACTAGACTCACCTAGGTCAGACTACTAGTCCATACCCCCCTTAATAGTATGGCCAAAGGAAAAACAAAGTTCTAAACTACTCTAAGTGTCTCTTCAACACCAAACAACACTTAAAACTAGTCCATCCTTAACCTTGTCGTCCGTCCTTTGAAAACCGAAATGATTTCCATCGTAGGGGGATGACAACCATGATTGTCCAATCAATTGCCATTACCATGACCTAACTTAATTGCCTCTGCAAAGCACACATTAGTCATAGTAATTATGTATTGTCATTAATCACCGAAACCCAACTAGGGGCCTAGATAATTTCAAAATTGAAGGAGGAAAACAGTCTTATGGAAGTTTGGAAAGAGTGGTTAGTTTTCAGTACAGTCTATTTACAATGCTATGACAACTAATGATGCAGGTCCATGTCACAAAAATATGGAAAGGTAAAATTCCAGTTAAAATTTGGAAATTAAAGTTTTCTTATGGATGGTTGAAAACAATGTCATCTTAACAAAGACATCATGTCAAAAGAAAATGGGGTGGTAGCCCTGAATGTCATTTCTGTGATCAAAATGAAATGATGCCTCACTTGCTGTTTAGTTGCAGTGCTGCTAAAGTTTTTTGGGCCACGGTTGCTCATTGTATTGGGGCTCAGAATGTACCCAAAACACTACAACAAAGCTAGATGTGGTGTGAGAAATGGCCCTCAAATGGGCAAAAGTTATACTTTTGGTATTGTTGTTGCATGTTCGGTAGTTTGGAAAACAAGAAACGATATATGCTTCGAAGGAAAGATTGTGAACAATTCTATTGAAATTGTGTGCTATGCTTGCTCTCTTATGCGATATTGGGCATGCGCCTATATGGGGAGGGAGACAAGGAGATGCTGGAGAAGTTGTGAACATCTGATAGGGACAGCAGTCCTGCCCCTGATGAATCGTAAGTTGTAGTCGTGGAAGGCCGGAGGACGAGGCTTGAAGCACGACGAACAGCGACGAGGAACCGTGGTCGCACGTGTGAAGGAGGAAGAGGAGGCTGGCGGCACAGGAGGTGGCGGCTAGGGCTAAGAAATCCCGGCTCCCTTCAGGAAGCCAGAAACAACTATGTTTCTGCTTAATCCAATCTCCAAGTCATTACAAGTATTTATACTTCTCTCTAATAATAATAGAACTAAATAAAATAACTATAGGCTTTTATGCCCTCTCTAGCCGGCAGCCCTAGGCACTAATGGGCCTACGCCTTATATAATGGATGCCGGTCATAACAACATCATGCTCAAAATCGCAACGAAGATCATCAGCAAGAAGGCGACATGCAACACACTGGGGCAGATCTAGGATGTTGATCGTCAGGAGGGTGATGAGCAAGACCCATTACCTAATCTGAAAAGGAAGACGTGTCAGGCCGGGGCACTTTTTGCCCATTTTGCTTCTTCATGCGTAGTTCACTCTGGTTGTTTTGTAAGGTCCAGTTGGATGAATTATCAGGTTGTTCTGGTTTAGACTTGGCTTATGGCTGCTCCCCTCTTTCTGTCAGCTAGATTGAAGCAGTTTGGCTAGGAAGGAAGAGATCTAACCAGAGCAAGTAGGATGGTCTGTCTGTGTCTTTTGTAGTCTGAACATCTCTTACGTTACTTGTTGATGAAAATGGGCAACTCGTCGATTAGAAAGAAAAAAAAACGGTTACCTACTATTTAGGTTAAACAGCTTTTTTTGAGAAGGATTTAGGCTAAACAACTAAGCGGATGATTAAATGAACTTAGACTCCACCACATAGCCCATGGGTGGGCCGGGTGAGATCATAGCTGAGCAAAATCGTTCACCCACATTCAATTTTGGGATTGTCTCACCGCGTTTTATTCCTAAATCAAAACAAACCACCTCAATTAACATTCAACATGTTCGCTTGGTCGAGCCAACGAATACAGTATTTTTTTCTCACACTAAATTCTATCAACAATACTTTCAGTCATGATTTATAAGCTAAATTAGCCTATACGTACAGGACGATTACCTTTTAGTGCCCCTCCTTCTTTCGATTAACATGACTTTGTTTCAATTTTCGGCTGGCTGGAAAACGGCTCTGCTCAGCTGTAGATGCACGCGCCGGTCAGGCCCCACCGCCAATTAAACAAGCCTCCCGTCCCCGTCCCCACTCCGTACCCAATAAGCAGGCTGCAGGCAGAGGCAGCCAGCTCGGCGTGTCCTCCGTCTCCATCTCGGCCCAGCCGAGCCCAACCTGTCCGCCCCCTCTCTCCCCTTTTCTGAAGTTTTCTCCCTCCTCCGTCCTCCCCCGAGTCCACACGGCCGAGGACGCCACCGGGGGAGGAGAGGACCCGGCTCGGAGGGAACAGGGAGGGAGATGGCGATCCTGTACTCGCTGGTGGCGCGCGGCACGGTGGTGCTGGCGGAGCACAGCGCGGCGGCCACCAACGCGGGCACCATCGCGCGCCAGGTCCTCGAGCGCCTCCCCGACGGCGGCGCCGATAGCCACGTCTCCTACACGCAGGACCGCTACGTCTTCCACGCCAAGCGCACCGACGGCATCACCGCGCTCTGCATGGCCGACGACGCCGCCGGAAGTAAGCGCTTTGCTGCTCCTGCCCGTCCCGTCCCCTCCCCACCCTTCCTTCCCGGTACGATCGCACTCGCACGGGGGGCTCCGAGTTCGATTAGGATGCCCCCAGGGTTCATTACGTGGTCCGGCTCCATAGGCCGCCGGAATAGCGAAGATCCGGGCCTGATTCTGGGTTTTGTCGTCACGCGTCCATCTGGTCTGTTACTACTGACTAGCAGTCTGAAAGCTGACCTTAGGGGATTGGTAGATCAGGACAAACTGACGAGTTCGCGATTGGATTCCAGTGTAGCCTGCCAAATGGCGTCTAAGGGTTGATGGGCTGGGGGCATAGGTTGAGCTCGTTTTTGGAGTTATGTGTTGGCAGCTCCGGTTTTGTAGCTGTTGACTTCGGGATCAAACTTGCTCATTGCTGCACTTAACAATCTGTCTACTAATTCTCAACCTATAACACTGTCTGCTGGAGTGCTGGTTCTTAGTAGGTTTAAGCTAAACTGTACTTCTTTGTTGGTCCAATCGTTGTGTCCGAGTATCATCTTATCCTGCTGACTTTAAACTTTGCGGTACAATGCATACGGTGACTGTTTTGACTACTAGCACATCTTTCACATTATCAACTAGAATTTTATGCCACGAATTTCGTATTGTCATTGCCTGCAAATACGTCTGTTGTGAAATGCTTAGCCATGAGCTTATCAGTGTTTTATCCTCTCTTTTTTTTTTTGCCACAGGACGGATCCCCTTTGCATTTTTGGAAGATATTCATGGGAGATTTGTCAAGACATATGGCCGGGCTGCACTGACAGCTCTTGCATATGCAATGAATGATGAATTCTCAAGGGTCCTGAGCCAACAAATGGACTACTATTCAAATGACCCTAATGCAGATAGAATAAACCGCATGAGAGGTGAAATCAATCAGGTAATGCACCCATTTTTTCAGTTGTTTCATATATGAAGGCTATTCTATATAGAAGAAAATATATATTCTGAAAACTAGCATTGAATGTATGCTGTGATCTCTGATCTTATAAACCTTTGTGGAACTGCTTCTTTCCAATTTCCATATACTTGTTTAAACCAAACCATAAAAAAAATCCCATTGGTCTTGCACATTGCCATGAAAGAGTCTCACAATACAAAAGGATTTACCTATTCACTATTTTCTCACAGGTTCGTAGTGTTATGATTGATAACATTGATAAGGTCCTTGAAAGAGGTGATCGTTTGGAACTGCTGGTTGACAAGACTGCAAATATGCAAGGAAATACAGTTCGATTCAAAAGACAAGCTCGGCGGTTCAGAAACACTACTTGGTGGAGAAATGTCAAACTCACGTATGGGATATTCTGATTTCTTGACTTAATTTAAAACACGTCGCTATCATATTTTTTCTTGCATATTGATCTCTCCTTCCTTTTTGCCTCACGAACTCTTAATTTTGCTTCTGGTTCATGAACTTTGTACTGACTTTTTTCACTTTCCATGGATTCTTAATTTTGCTTCTTAATACCCAACTCAATATGCCATTTTGTTGAAAAATAATATCCTTAACTTTTAGTGTGGGATGCATGTAGCCATGTACTCCATGACATTCAAGCATGGGAACTATTTCTCCTTTTTTGTCGTGCCAAGCAGCAACCTTTACAGTTTTGAATAATTATTATATGTGAAAGCTGGATGCCATAATCATTGGTGTGCCATAATTATTAGGCTCTTGGTATGATGCTATGATGTTTCCTCCACTGCTGTTTGAGCTTTTCGCCTGCAATAATCATATTCTATATCTCTGTTTGTGCAGGGCCGCATTGATACTTCTCCTCCTGGTAATAATATATGTCGTTCTTGTGTTCGTGTGCCATGGTTTCACCCTACCAACTTGCATAAGGTAAGGCATGATCTGTGCATTGTGCTTTTTGGTGTGCATGTTTGTGTATGTCCCTGTCCCCGGGAGCAGCAGCTATCGCAATACCATTGCAATTTGTTTTTTTGTGTAGAGGAAAGCTACAGATTATGATGTGATTGTGAAAACTCAATTAAAGATGTAAACTTCACATAAAACTGCTTCTTGTGGGTTTGGCTATGGCCTTGTAGCTCTACGAGAATTGGGTGCTTGGATTTGTGTTTATTTGTGGCTATTCTTGTGTCTGTAAATGAATTCAGTTACGACTATATTATGGCTATGCTAATGTAATATTCTTGAATTTGACAAGATGACATATACATGGAGCTGCCATGAAAATTTCTTCCCAGCACAACAGCAGCATGCCAGTATTTGCATCTATCAGTGTGTCCATCTCCGTAGGAAATTACTTTGCAATGTTGCACAACTTATTTCGCCTCAGTCACATGTACACTCGTGCCTGATCAGAGGTTGAACGGAAAGAACTCTGCTCCATCTTTGGATCATTGATTATGGCATAATGTTAAGGCTTTTGCTTCACATTGACAAGAACTGCCACTTGTTACTTGTATATACTTGCGCTCACCTTCACAGAAAAACCTTGGGTCAACAAACATATAAGTGCGGTGCCGGCCACGTTTTCAGAAACATAAATACCAATGACCTCCATTTCGTCGTTCACATGTAGCCGAAGTGACCAAGTCCTTGTACTGATCAATGAGGGCCCGCTCGTACTCCCGTACCTTGTTCCTCTTCCTCTTCTCCAGGACCCCGGCCGAGTTCGACGAACTTGCCTCCTCCATCTCGAGGCCACGATCACCGGCCCCTAACGCCCGCGATCGAGCCCCTCTGCTCCCTCTCCAAACAGCCTACCCACGTTGCCGGCTTGCCGCGGCGCACATGGCCTTGCCATGCATGGCAACCACCGGCGGCGTGGGCTGCCAATCGACAGCAGAGCATTGGCATAAGATCACGGATAGCACAACTATCCTTCTCATCAGGGACCAAGATTATCTTATAGGAGTATGGTACTGTATATTTCAAGCAGCAGAACAACAATCACGCAGAAACAAGAGTCCTTTCTCTCCCTATCTGACACACATGTAGCAATTACGGGATAACTCGTCTGTACTGCAAACTAGGGCCCAAATAGTATACTACATACAACTACAACAAATCCAGGTTCACGACCACTCCGTTCTTACAGCTTACCGTAGAAATTTTACCCTAACAGCAAACGAAAGGCATGGTAGCAACACTAACACAAACAGAGGGCAGCTCAAGGCGTAATTTCAGACACACCGGTGAATAGTGTCCTTCCAGGTTGTGCATCCAGATTCCAGAGTGATGGTCACAGCATCACAGCTGTTTCATTGATTCCCCAGGATCATGCTGAAGTATAGGTGGCTCTGCGTAGGCTTCCGACCTGTTGACGTTGCGGTCTGCTTCTTCACCGCCCAAAGCAGAAGCGCCGAAAGTCTCGGCAGATTCGCTTGAAAAGCCATTGACGAAACTTGTCCTGGACTCTGCGTTTGTTCCGAGAAGATCAGCTACCTGAGGAACAGATATCCCACTCCTGCTTCCACAGCCTTCAGATGAGACTGCAAAGGAGTCCACAGAGTTCGAGTTGCTTTGGAGATTTTGGTATTGCCCCTCCTCTTTAAGCAGCATGACTTCACTGCATACCTGTTCATTAGTAGGCACACAGCTGCGACTTCCATCACATGAGAAAGTGTCTTTAGAACCAGCCACCAAATACAGAGTTTCATCATCTTTCTGATCAGAAGAGTTCTTGTGTTCACTTCCTCCATCCCCACTACCCGTGTCCACAATGGTACATTCCAGAACAGTTGAAGTATCACCGCAACAACTGTGGTAATGTTCGTCATGGGGGAATATAATGGTATCTTGATGACCTGTAGACACATGTTCTGAAGTTTTATCAAATAAGGAATTCTTTTTTGCACTGTCTCCATGCAGTGGTGGGAAATTGTTAAGAGGTCCATAGCCTCCACGATCTGGCGCAGCATCACAAGGGACTACTTCATGGTAGTTTTTAAGGAAAAAGTCCGTTTTTGCCCTCCAACTATGGCAGCAGTTTGGTTTTAACCCTCAACTCCAAAACCAGACAACCGTAGTCTATCAATTCTGTAAACCAGATAGAAATGGCCCTCGCGCCGGCGTGACGGCGGTTTCCGCCCGGTCAACCCGCGACGACCGCGGTATTGGGCCTTCTTCCTTTTCTCGCGGCCCACTTACTCGTGCTCTCTCCTCTCACTCTCTTCCGTTCGTTCCCCAACCCCGACCCCGAACCCTAACTCCCGACGGCGGCGACGGCGATGGCGGAGGGTGCTGGTGCGGGTGCGGATCGACAGCTCCAGTCGCCGACTTGCTCACTCTCTTCCGTTCCTTCCCCAACCCCGAACCCTAACTCCCAACGGCAGCGACAGCATGGCGAGCTCGAGCAGCGCGAGTAGCTAGAGGGGAGGAGGAAAGTCCGACCGTGGTGGCTTTCGGTCGTCCCCGCTGTGTCGCCGAGGCCCTCTGGATTATTGGCCACCCGTGATTTGCGATTGAGGAGTGAAGGCGACAAAGTGGACGTCGTGGACCAATGATAATCCGGGCCGCAGGTTCTACAATTGCTTCGGATCTCAGGTGAGTTCGATCAATGACTTGTTTAGGGTTTGGTTCTTGTCCTTGGTTCTTTGTTGGATTTGATGATTGAAGCTGTCTTGGTTTTGGTTGTAATCACGGTTGCAGAGCAATATGCGGCCATGCCAATTTTATCGCTGGATTGATCCACCAACCCCAGAGCACCTTGTACCCATTCTTATTGAGCTCCGTGACCAAGCGCGAGCAATGAGGATAGCTAACAGACAGGGAAATGGCCACATGGATCTGGCATTAGTTGATGTAGAAGCATCAAGGCAGCAAGAAAGAGCCATGGTGCAAGCAGGGTTTGCAGGCACAGATGTTGTGGCACCAACGGTGCAAACAGCTAGAACAGATGCAGATGATGTTCAGTTGAAATGCAGGATGGTAGAGAAGGAACTAGGTTTGTTGAAGTTTGTATTGGCGGCCTGTATGATTGTAGTGCTTGCTGTACTTTTTAGGAAGTAGATGTTTGTTGCTTTTTTAGTTGTGAATGGTAGTAGTTGGATGCTTGTTAGTTTGTGGTGTACAAGTATGGAAGATGTATTGAATTGAAGATGTATTTTGCTATCTTTGACTTGATTATGAATTCGAAGATAAGGCTTTCAGGTATCTAGTGACATGAAGTCTTATTGCTTTTCTTGCTTCTACCAAATTTTATTTCATATCCTATTGCTCTTTCATATGAACTGAGGAACTCAAATTGGCTGTCATCCAGGATGACTTGCTCTCTGATGGAGAAATACCCTTTTCTTCTATTTTGCCTTTACTTGGGTTCTGTGATCCATAGGCAATAACAGCTTCTTTACCTATAGCTATAGTCAGGAGGCCAGCACCCACTATCCCATGACCTGGGGAAGAAATTGATGTCTACATATTTTCATTGTTCAATGAGAATAGGAAACCTGGCATTGAGTCGGAGAGGAACTGGGGACTGTTCTTTCCTGATAGGAAACCTGGTGTATTGCTTCAACTAATGCATCGGAAATAGATCTGCAGAATGCCCTCAACTGGGCATGTGGTCCAGGCATCGTAGATTGCTCTGCCATTCAACCAAGCCAACCTTGCTACCAGCCGGACACTTTAGCTTCCCATGCTTCGTATGCATTCAATAGCTACTACCGGCAAAATGGAGCCAATGTTGTGGCCTGTCAGGATAGGAACCATGCTCTAAACTTGAAAAGCTGCCAGGACTCAGGACTTAATAACCATGTATTTGCACAGCTTCGACAACTTAAAAGTGTAGCATTACATTACAAGACATTAACGTCTGGCATTATAATTTGCACACCAGCACAGCTTCGAGCACTTATAGTCTGGCATTACATTACAAGTTCAACCAAGGAGTGATAGAAACGACTGAACATTACATTACAAATGCCTTAAAAGTCTGGCATTACACTACAAGGTAACATCACAATATGGCAATACATGATCTTAGGGATCAGCATGGTCTTTGAGAAGCAGCAGTTGGCTTGGTTGTGTGCGCTTCTTCACTGGTTGCTTCTTCCTTGGAGGTTCCTCGGCAGTGACTGTAACACATGCTTTTCCACCATTAAAACTCAAGTTGACAGAAGAACTTGCCTGTGACAATGGAACATTGGCTTTGTAAATGCATGGTAGCTTGCCCAGGTGTTTGCACTCTAGCTGTTGCAGTGCACTTGATATTTTTCTGCATGTGAGTTAAAATATAAGCAATTGGAGGCAAAATATAAGCAAGGTGAGGCAAAATATAAGCAGTAGCACATACAGTTACTTGGCTTCGTTGAGATGCTCTTCTTTTCCCTCTTCCTCTACTGCTTTCATTAGAGGTAGCAGTGGGTACAAAGCTGCCATGTGTAGAAGCAGCAGCTGATACATTACTTGGTTGTGGAGCAGCATGACCTGTGCCTCCTGGAGTTTCACTGCTAGATGGAACCTATTGTGGCCTATTCCCTTACATTTCCTGCATCTGATGACTATTCCTACCTTAGGAAGTCTCTTTGCCTTTGGTTGTGGCTCCCTCTTCCTTTCTTTCTTAGGTCTGCCTGGCATTCTCACATATCCAGGTGCCTTCAAGGGTGGGAGATGAGACTCTGGCCAACTCTGCATACCCTCCAATGGGTTTAGGCAGTGAGAGTAAGTCTTGTTGAACTCATTAATATGATAACAAGATGCAATGTAATCATCTAGCACATTTGTGTTGTAAAAGATGCATGAAATAGCATGGCAGCATGGCAACCCAGACAACTGCCAATACCTACAAGAGCACTCTCTAGCCTGTAGGTCAACTGTGAACCTGTTGTCCCAATGATTGACTTCAAATCTGTCAGCTCCATTGCTAATAGCATGGCATACCCCTGAAAGGGTCATACTTGCATTTAGCTTTTTAAGGATGTTGGGACACACTGTTCCTGTCCATGTTTGTGACTTAGACCTATTCTGTTGGATCCTCACCATCACCTTCCTTCTAATTGTCTCCAGCATAGTTACAATAGGAAAGAACCTAGCTTCCACAATCCATTTGTTAAATGTTTCACACATGTTGTTGTCAACAGAATCACAATTTGATCCTATCTTAAACCAGGCCCTGCTCCAATGAGCTGGATCAGTGTTCATCAAGGCTTGTGCACCATCTGGTGTATATCTTGCTAGTCTGGCCCTTGCAAGATTGAACAATGATGGACAGGGTGCCTTTGCACAATGCCAGAATTTCTTTTGCCACTCCTTGTTTTTGAATTTCTTTCTCCAATTGGCATATATATGCCTAGCACAGTTTCTGTGTTCAACACTGGGAGCCCATTTCTGTACTGCATTGAGGATACCCTTCTGTTGATTAGATATGATAACCCACACCTCCCAATCTCCCACTCCAACATCTCAGAACAAAATGTCACAAAACCAGTCTCATGATTCATTGTTTTCCTTCTCTACTACTGCCCATGCTATGGGATACATATGGCTGTTGGCATCCCTTCCTATTGCACACAGAAGCTCCCCATTCGTTGCACCCTTAAAGAAGCAACCATCTAGACCTAACACTTTTCTACACCTTGCCATGAATCCTTTTTTATATGCATCTAGGCAAATATACATTCTCTGGAATACTGGTGGTTCCAAGTTGGCCGTGGGCATAATTCGAAGACCGAAGACCGAAGACCGAACCGAAAAGACCGAGACCGAGACCGAAAAGACCGAGACCAAAAGTTCGGTCATGAGTTGATCTGGCTCCTAACTAACGAAGTAACCGATAGAAGTTCGGTCATATGTGTCGATTAACGAAGTGACCGAATCGACCGTAGTTCTGAGACTTCGTTCGTAATGTCATTATGTGTGATTGTGATTTGTGAGAACCGAGAAAGTTATGTGCTAGAACTTGTCATAATAATGTGTGGTTTGTTTTATATATTGTGTTGTTATTTTTTGCCTTCAAATAGCAAGCATCTTTGTTGAAAATTGCTATAGATTCTCGCTATTGTTTGTGGCTGCTACTCAGGTCCGGTTAGTTCGGTCGTGACCGAGACCGAACCAAACTAACCGAGACCAAACTTCCTCGGTCTTTATTTTTTGCAAAGACCGATCGGTCCCAGGTTTCTGATGACCGAACTGACCGAATGACCGAGGAACCAAACCGATCGGTTCGGTCTGACCGAATGCCTAGGGTTAGTTCCAACTGAAGTTCTTTTTTGACAATGACCGTGCTGCCATGATTACTTCTCAACAATTCAAGCTGATATCTATACAGAAGTTGGTACTGGCCTTTGGTTGCATCTAGTTCTTTCTGCATGACAATTGCCTTTGCTCTTTTCAGTTTTGAGATGCTTACCATAGCAAACATCTCCTCTTGAATTGTGGTTCTCATTCTTTCCAAACTCCATGTTGGGTTGGCCTTTATGAACTTCTCATATTTCTCTGCAATCCTACTAGCAGTTACTAACTTGTTATCCCTCCTTGGGGGGCATGTGTGCAAATCATTTAGACTAGCCACCTGCCAGCTGTCTGTCCTTGAATACATCTCTAGGTACATGTGGCCCAATCACATAGAGCTAACATCCTGTGTGACTCATTCCTCCTAAACCTGATCACCCTCCTCTCTAGCAAACTTTGCCTGATAACTGCTTTCTTGAACTGTTTTTTCCCAGTGAACTTCATGCCAATCACAAACCTAGGACTAGGTACACTCTTGTTGAACCTTGGGTAATAGCTGTGCTTGGTCTCTAAGTGTCCCTCACTTGCTTCCTCCTCTGACTCATCCTCTGCACTGCTGTTAGCATATGGGGTGTCATTTGCATCATCATCAAGCTCAAACTTGGTTGGCACAGAATTTGGCCTATCCAAGATGACATCATCCAGATTTACTACTTGTCCACTCTTCATGCTCTTCTTGAATTCATTGAACTTCTTTTGAATTTGTACAACTTCTTCATCTTCCTCAGATGAATTGTCATCTCCCGATAAAAACTCACTGTCACTGTTGTCCTCTAAAATCTCTTTGTCATTCAAAACACTTGAAACTGGCTGACTCCCTTGGTCATCAACCACCTGCTTCCCCTTATCCATTTTGCTAGGGCTGTACCACTCCCTTACAAATTTGATCTGTTTCTCTACATCTTCCCTACTTTCATGCTTATTATGAGCAACCAAGACATCTTCACCTGGATTTGTCAGTTCCTCATATCCACCTTCAAACTCACTGTCATCATGTTCTTCTTACTCACCTTCAATCTCATCTTCATAGTTGCTGTCCTCATCGTCCTCTTCCTCTTCATCATCAACTGTATGTCCTTCAACATATATCTCTGCTACATCTCCTTCCTCAATGTTGTTTGCCATTTCAAAAAATCTAAATATCAATTAGAGGGGTTGCAAAATGCAGACCAAACCAATTCCTATCAAGTTAACATATCATACACAATGACTTAGTGCTACGAGTTGTCGAAGCAGAATATGAACGAGGAATTCCTAAGAACGATGACCATACCTGTTGAGCAGCGACGCGCACTTGGCCCAGAAGAAGACGCTGGCGACGAGGAGGAGCAAGGCGTTGGACAAGAGGGGAAGCTGTAGCCCGCGCGCTCGAAGACGAACCAGACCGCGGTGGCGCCCACAACGCCCGCCGCCGAGGCGTTCGTCCGCCTCCACAGCAGCAGGTCGGCGACTGGAACGGGTCCCCGCTGAGGAATGTTAGGAGCTATTGATCCGCAACCGCACCAGCACCCTCCGCCGTCGTCGTCACCGCCGTCGGGAGTTAGGGTTCGGGTCAGGGTTGGGGAACGAACGGAAGAGTGAGGAGAGAGCGCGAGTAAGTGGACCGCGAGAAAAGGAAGAAGGCCCAATACCACGGTCGTCGTGGGTTGACCGGACGGAAACCGCCATCGCGCCGTCGCGAGGGCCATTTCTATCTGGTTTATAGAGTTGATAGACTGCGGTTGTCTGGTTTTAGAGTTGGAAGGCTAAAACCAAACTGCTGCCATAGTTGGAGGACCAAAAACGGATTTTTTTTCCTTTTTTAAACTAGGAACTGGGAGGCGAAAATACCATCCCCATTTGATAACTAGCTGATGCCAGACAGATTCATCACAATTTTCTCAGGTTTGCAGGCTTACAGCTTGCGAGCTGAGAAGATTTATATGCACACACTGACACTGTTATAATATATTGGTAAAAAGATCATTAATCCTTTCCCACTATCACTGATGCCACCTGCACGTCCACATTTACAAACCAGGTGAAGTGTGGGGAAACATGGAAGAAAATAGAAGGATAAACAGACCTGAGATCGCAAAGATCTCAATTACTAACTGTCAAGTATATCAAACTCCGAGTCTTCAATTACATCCCATGATTCCTTCTTTGACAGTGATGCAGGTGGAGTTGGCTGCGGAGGCCGGTGGCTGTAATCGGTGGACGAAGCAGGTTTTCGTCTGACTGAATCCTGGCGCACCGAGGAGCTAGCATAGGGGAGGTGCCTCCGGTCAGAGAGAAGAGAATCCATGTATTTGTCCATGACAACAACGTTGGCACTATCAACATCGCTCAGCTCCTCGCTACTGAGGTATCTTTTACCTTCTCTGAAGGATTCCACATCTGAAGGTATTTCAGACCACTGATCCATGCTTTCCTCAGATTTCGACTTTGCAAATACCCATTGGTCAATGCTTCGCTCGGATCTTGTCTTGGGCAAAGCACGGCCATCCGAAGATTGATACCCTTCTTGGTTGCTTTTCACACTTTCTATCTCACAGACGTGAGGTGGAGAATCTGACTCTATCTCATTGTTGTGATGTACAGAATTTGGCACGCTCTGGGTATCTTCCTGCACAACGAATTAATAATTACTAATTAGTAAAAAGATTAATAAGGATACAGTATCGTATCATATAATTTTGTCAGAGATGCTGCTTTGTGGAGAAGCTTAAAGATGATCTTATTAAGCCCAAAGACCATCGACAACATATTCAGCACTCCTGTGTCCAGTTTACATTAGGGCAAAAAGGGGAAACTGCCTCCAGAGGATAGTCAAAATAGCGGCTAATAACAGTAAAAAATGGAACTCTAGACACTATTGGCAATGCGCATGGTGCTTGGTTGCTTCCCTGGACTGGGGGCTGCTGGCCAGGCAGCTTGATCCACCCCAGGCGTTGGAAATTCAACACCTGCAAATGCTGCATGGGCCAAGCATGTTTCCCAGGTTAGCAAGCAAACAAGCACGTATCAACATAGTGAATCCACAGGATGTAAGGTAGCAACCAATTTTGTAATCTGACAAAATGCAAGATTCAATACTGGTCTTGCATACAGGCACTGATGAGAGATGACTATCATACGCAAATACTTTCTCCGGTCATAAACATGTTTGGGACAATATTTAGTCAAACCTTTAAAACTACAAACATCAATAATTTTAAATTTTTGTCTCAAATCATGCAAGTTTATGGTGTAGAATTGTATTGAAAATACTTGTTAATTAAATCTCATAAAGTTGAAGGATTTTGATAATATAATCTAGAAAAAATTCAGTGGTCAAAGATATTGTACATCAAAGACCGTGCAAAGTCAAATTTGGCAAGTATTTTTTGACCAGAGGGAGTATATCTCAAATGCATAAAAGATTCTGGTACAAATTCACACTTCACCTAATGAGATACCTGTTCCTATAAAGGAAAATTCTATACATTTAATTTCATTTCTGTTGTGTTTCTAGTGCATACGGAAGATTAAGATTTTCAGCTGTGAACTCAGTGGTGCAATCCATGTTTTATAAGGCAACAATACATTCTTTATGTAAATATAATGGAGAACAAAATATATTAGAATGACTGCAATGGGATTCGCATTTCCAATCGGTTCAGCGACATTGTTTCAGTGCACAGTGCACACAATCTATTCTTCTAGCACTGCTATAGCAAAAACATTTATACAATTTATGGAGTAGCTCATGTTATCAATATCTGCTGACCTATTTTGTATCCTTAAAATCCTAGTATTTGCTTGCTGAAATAAGATGACATTTGATTGATGACACAAACTGTTACTAAGGCACTGATATTGTTTGTGTTAGTTCTGCAATGCATAAATAAAATCCATTTCGAAATGGATCACACCAATGTATGATCAAATCTCTGCAGCCAAACTAGAAGCTGAAGTGCTGAACAATATAGATACCCAACACGCTCACAAGATATGCAAACTGTTTGGGCAGCCCAACCTAGCATGATTCCAAAATTCATAGTGATCTGCTACATATAATGACTTGTGATGCCATAAATGTGATTTTTAAGTCAACAGAATCTGCTGAAAATAAGAGTTTTTCTAGTAATTTATGCTTCTCTAGAAGTTGGGATTTTCTGTAATAATAATATCAATTATTCCCTTCATTCCAAATTTGTGACGTTTTGGCTTTTGTAGATACTCCCTCCGTTCCAAATTATAAGTTGCTTTGACTTTTTTGGTTTATCCATTTTGCTATATACCTAACATATTATTATATCTAGATGCATAGCAAAATGGATGTACCAAAAAAGTCAAAGCTACTTATAATTTGGAACGGAGTACATAGCTTGTGCCATACACTTAGATATACACTGTGTCTAGATACATAGTAAAAACAATGTATCTAGAAAAGCCAAAACATCTTATACTTTGGAATGGAGGGAGTAGTAATTTAGAACATGCATAGTATTTTGAACCCCATTTGACGTAGAGGTTTTCCATATATTATAGAAAGAAGTAGGGAAAATTGCGTTTTTGCCCTTGTTCAGAACTCCAATTGTGATTTTGCCCCTACTTTTTTAACTTTGTGTTTTTACCCTTGATATTTTAAAATGAACTGCCCGTTTACCCCTATTTTGGATGTCCATTAGATGGACAGGGAATAGACGAATAAAAAAATTCCAAACTAGAAAAGCAAAGGCGAAATGACTACACTGCCCCTTATCCTTATCTGGCTCTTCCTCGTCCAAAGCAGATTGCGTCGAGTCGGCGGCATCATCAAGCGGGCGATCAGCAGGCTCGTCGTCGGCGGCGGTGCTCGCCTAGGCGCGACGGTGTGTGTGGCGCCTTCCGACCTCTGGGCTCGTCTTGTTGTTGTTCAGGCAAGTGAAGGCGACACGCTGGGGCGTGGGGGCTCTCGTCGTGCGCACGCTAGACGGCGGCTATGCCCGGCCGTGGGTCTCGGCGGCGCCTGACCGCCCGCCACCTCCGCCTTAAGGACCAATTGCTTTCGGTTGCTATGCGGCATAGGCGACCTCGCCGCCTCGCGGATGATCTTCGATGGCACCCCATGCGACCGGACGCGCGACACCAAAGGGGTCATGCTCTCGGTGTCTAGTCCAAACGGAGCGCCACGTAGAGAAGCTGCTGCTGCGATGAGGACATGTGGCGGCGGCGCCCGCCCGGCGCGGGGCGACTTCGTCTTTGTCGCTCGCGCTCAAGGCTCGTGATCAGTCCATGGAGTACGGGTACGGTTCGAGGCTGCACTGCGACGCCGTCAAAGCCGGCGGCGCGAACGACTTCGTGTGAACAGCTTGGTCGACATGTAGGCGAAAGCCGGGGACTTGGAGTGCGCCCGGAAGGTGTTCGAGAGAATCCCAGGACGAAATGTGGTGTCGTGAACCTCGATGCTCAGCGGATGCGTCGTTGCTGGATATGTATGTCAAGTGGGATGCAGTGTGTGATCGATGAGCTCAGCTACAGAACGAGAACCCTCTTGATGGCTTGTTGGATATATGTATGTCAAGTTGTGCCAAATATATTTGACCAAATGTAATCATTTTTATCAACATACAATATAAATGTGTCATTCCAAATCAGGGGTAAAATCACAAATAGGCATAACAAACGGAGCAAAATCACATGGGCATTTTTGTCCTTTTGTACAAAATTTAACACAGTTAGAGAAGGATGACGGAATAGGAGCAAACTGGTGCTTCGTTTTGAAATCACATGGGTAAATTCACAAAGTCAAAAAAAAACAGGGCAAAATCACAATTTCGATACAAAACAAGGGTAAAAATGCAAGAGCCCCAAAGAAGTATGGCTTAATAAATACATGAAATGTATAAGGAAAAGATAACTAGTATAAATATGCTTCGTGCTCACTTTGCTAACAGGCTATGCTATGATGACATCTCAGTTTCAAAACCACAGAAGTTTCATTCAAATTAAAACTAGTATATAAAATGTGGTCGACCATCAAAATTCAAATGTATGCTACAAGAGAGTGATGCACAAAAAATGAACATACCTCAGAACTATGCTCAATTATGTTCGACTCAAGCAACCTAAAGTAAATCTTCCAGAATATGTCTTCATCCATGTAAGAAGGACAGAGCCTACCCCGTAGAGATGCTAAATCTGGGACAAGTTTTTCAATGGATTCCATATGATCTCTTTGGATATCAGAGATTACGGAATCTGCAAAAAGAATAAAACAACATCATGGTATGACTAAAATAGTCACACAAAGAAGTAAAGACAAAAATGCATAGCACAGAAGAATAAAAGTCACAAATAATACTTCTAAACGGGAGCTAAGTAAAACAACTCACAGTACTAAGCCTGTATTTTCAAGATTTCAAAGTGATGATCATGCCAAACATAATTGATCCAAGGAGTAGGGAAGAAAAACTCGACCAAGTATTGCACAGAAAAAACAATGCATCTTGTCATCTATTTTCAAACATCAAGCAATTTACTAAATATAGTTGCTTATGTAAAAAGTACCTCTTATACAGCTGTAAAACAGTACACCATTCTTCAAAATCCATAAATGCATCTCATTTATACTAACTCTTGTGTGTATTTATACCTATAGGAAGTCAAATCTATAATAATGAATACCACATGGGAGATGGAACAAAAGTACAAAACAAAATCACGACTTCACGAGACCCGTACTCAGCAGCAATACAGCATACAGGACAAACTCCCAACATCCAAGCATAGTACGTACATAATAAGAGTCTCCACTTTGTTTCAGCCTATTCCAGGCAACTCATAGTCAATCAAATGAGCTAAAAAACCAAATAACACACTCAACAGCTGTGAAACCCCGAAATTTAAAGATGGAAGCATTGGATTTTTTTTTTCTATTCGTCCTCTGATCATCCCATCCATCAATGCTCTCAAAAGTAAATACTAACTTGTTACACATGCACTCGCATGGCATTATCCTACGACGAGCACTAATCTTAAACATCCCGAGTACTATCTGAGTACCTAATTTAGTTCCCTCTGCTCTCAATTCCACTAAAATCTACTGTGTGGAGTAACAACTAACAACTCCCATACCAGCAACCTCTACACCCATCCCACGGAAACAACTCCACAGGAAGCAACAGCACAGGCGCAATCTGCCTAGGCAGATGCCAATATTTGCAGAAGTAGCAACAATCGTGTAGGTGTCAGAGCCGAGAAGAGATAATTACCCTCATCTAGGGTGAGCACGGGGAAGTCGATCCACGCCTCGGGGCGCGCGGCGAGGGCACGCGCTGCTCCCACGACATCAACTGCGATCTGGTCGGCAGCAGCAGGCGAAGGCGGGGACGCGGCAGCCTGCTGCGACTCGACCGCGGCAGGGGCGGGATGGTCGGGAGGCGGCGGCGAGGACGGGGCGGAGGCGGCGCGGGAGAAGCCGCCGCGGAAGGAGCCGCCGATCTCGGCGAGGTCGGAGAGGATGCCCGCGAGGAGCGAAGGGGACGGTGGGTGCGGGGACGGGGAGCGGCGCGCGCGGCGGCGGGGGCCCGGGCCCGTCGGGGTGGGCGGCGGGGAGTCGGTGTGCGCCGGGTTGAGGAGCGGGTGCAGGAAGCAGGCGATGTCGAGCAGGTGCCGCCCCAGCTCGGAGAGGTCGTCGCGGACGCCGCGCAGCCCGCGCGCCATCCGCCCGGCAGCCGCCGCCGCCGGCCCCCCTCGCTTTCGCGATTGCTTTGCGGCTTTGCCGCCTTGCGGGGTTGCTTTCGCTGGGGCGGCCTTGGCGTGGTGTGGGGTGAGGTGAGGTGGGCTCGTGGTTTGGGGGAGGCAATGATTGGGACTTGCGGCAGCAGGAGCCGAGAGGAGGTGGCCGACTCGGGAGGTAGAGCGGCTTCCGGTTCCGCACGCCGGCACGGGTTCGAGTCGGGGCCGCGCCCGCCCGCGTGGGGCGGGCCGTTGGTTGGGTGATCGATCGGTGATCGCGCGCGTGTGCCGCTGGGTGCGCGCACGGACACGGACGTACTCCAGATGCTGCTGCCGGTGGTTGCGCGATGAGAAAAAATAGACAGATCGGCGACCGCTTCCACCGGTGGTTGCGTCAAGGCTCCGTGAAACGCCGGCAGACAAGCGCACGCCTAGGGAAAGACAGGGCCACACACTAACTAGCACCAGCCAGCAAAAGCATGGAGCAACTTTCCGGCTTCATGATGACATGTCGATCTAAACCGTCCTGTTTTCATTCGATCGCACAAAGTCAGCTGCTACAAAGAATGCCTGCATTATTCAACTGTAATCCAGTGTATGTTCATCAAGAATAATCCAATATATCTCAATCTCGACTCTGAACAAGAATCGACTCTCAACTGCCAATGAACAGGTGACCAAACTCTGTGTATAATATACATACAATCACCTCCTACGTACGGGACACCACTGATCCCTGCTTGCTATACACCCCAACCGACGCTATATATATATAAACAACCCCAATCGTGACCGCCTCTACCTGTGTCTGTGTCTGTGCTACAAATTTCCTTCTCACAATGGCAACAAGAAAACTTGGGCAAAAAGAATGAATGATGTGGTAACAGTAGCGCTCCGCTAAGCAACCAAGAAATTGATGACCGCCGGACGTGGCACTAGATCAGCCCCGTGTAGACGTTGCCGGGGCCAGCGTGGAGCGGCATGCCGGCGGCGCCGTAGGGGTGCGCGCCAGCGGCCGCGAAGGGGTTGCCGAACGGGTTCGCGGGGTTCTGCTGCATCTGCACCTGCATCGGGTGGTGGACCACCGGCGCCGGCGCCGGCGCCGGGGCCATCGTCATCATCTGATGCTGCTGCAGCATGAAGGCCTGCTGCTGCTGCGCCATCGCCGCCATCTGCACGCCGTGCGGCGCCGCGTACCCGTTCGAGGCGTAGAACGGATCGTGCATGGCCGGCGCCATCGTCAGCATCGGGGCAGCCGCGGCGGGGGTCGCCTCCCAGGGGTTGTAGCTTGCCGGCTGGCTCGCTCTCCGGTTCGCCTCGTTGTACAGGCTGTCAAGGGTCAGCAAGTCCAGACCACCGGCCTGCACACAGTTTCAATTTTTTGTGAGAAATTTGAGCAAACAACCTGCCAATTCCTGTCTGGAAAATGTTGATTTGCGAGATAAAGGCAGTTCAGCAACCTACCAGTTTCTTGCTTGGGACAACGGCGGTCTCGTTTGAACTTGGTGCCGTCACAAGGGCCAGTTCCCAGCCTGTGACTCCATTTTCAAAGGTAGGAGCAGCTTTCGGAACATCATCTGCCACAGTAAGCCAGAGTGAGCGTCATGCCTCTCAGTTAACCAATTTCATGGTGCGACTAACTTTCAGTCATGAGAAATTTACCTATCGGAACAATCGCTAGCGCCAAAGCATTCTGCTCTTCTATTGCGGTCGCAGCAGGGTTTGGTTCGTTCAGACCCTAAAGAGAGAAGCGAGTGTTAGCAGAAAAATGTATGGCTAATGACTCTGCTTCATAGTAGTAAAAAAAAAATCAACCTGCGAGGGGCAAGCCGCCCCTCGGGCATTATACGTAAGAAGAAGGCCTTCTCACACAGGCCGAGAAAACCCCCGAACCCCGGCCCCGGCCCGACACTGGGAGACGTAACCCGTGAGATGGGCCGTCTCCTTTAAACCAGTGCTTTGGCACCCGGGACCGGCGAGGGGATTTTTTTAACCCCCAGCCTGAAATTCGCTCCCACTGGGAGTCGAACTCAGGACCTGGAGGGTGCCGCCGGATCTGCTTCATAGTAGTAGCAAAGAATGTTACCAGCAAATCCGGTTCAGCTTCCGGTGCTTCCTCTTTCACTGGTTCCGGTTCTGGCTCAGGCTCTTGTTCCGGTTCTGGTTCTGGAGCCGGAGGAGGTGAAGCTGGTTTTTCTTCCTCCTCTGGTTCTTTTTTGTATTCTATCGCTAGTACAGCCTGAAACAAATGAAGTAGGCTTAGAGACAAAAATTGAGTAAGAACTATATAACAAAATGAACAAGATGGTTGAAGGGCCTCTTGAAAACTTCAAGCTGAATAGTTGATAGCAACTTAATATAAATGATGTGTGGGAAGATCCCAATGTGATAGTTTCAACAGTGTGTGAGGATCATTTATTCAGATGAAAATGGTACTCAGGCTTTCTATTTTATTCCGTAGTACTATGCATTAATTTGGAAATCCCAGTATATATATTCACATCTTTTTTCACATATAAGGTTATTAAAAATGGCATATTTCACAGAGAATTATGCAAAACAACACAGAGCTAATTAGCTTGAATTCTTTCTGAAGTGGATTCATCACCAACAGTTTGTGGACATACTGATATGCAAATGAAGATAGCTTATTGATGTTCAAACATCCTATTGGTAAGTCAATTACTTCTTGTAGTTTCCATACCTTTTCTTTTTGACCTGTCGGAGCATCCCTTACATACTCCTCCATAGTCTGCAAGAATGATGCTGGAGGCTGCAGGAAGTAATTGATAAATTTCATCAGTAAATTGCTAACTTAGGGGACAAAAACCAAACACTTAAAGAATCCAAGGAACATTTATCGAACCTGCTCAATCTTCAGGAATTTCTCACCACGCCCAATGTGTATAGTTTTACACACTTCATAAAATTCTGAAAGTCGTTCAGCCTATGTGACAAAAAAAAATTGAAAAGAAACTTAGAAAACCCATCAATATTCAGCCTACACGTTTTCATTTCAACAGTCTCAAGTATTGAATCAATGGCTTATGGCTCAGAATTTAGTTTCGAACATGGATCAGTGCCAGCAGAGCTGGTGATGCTGAAGTGTGAACTAAACATTTTTTCGCAGTGTTCATATGTCAGTAATCCTCATTCCAAAACACAAAGAGAGACTATGGGGGAAGAAGGATGCCTGATTCATGATATTTCCCACTGTCTTCATAGGGAAAGATAAACTAAACAAGGATGAGACCACTAAAAACTTAAATACGAGCAGTCCCTCTCAGAAAACTGACTGTTTATCCATTTCAAGTATCCTGGTACATAGCTATACTATATACTCATTGTGCTAATGTGCTCTGGCAAGAATTTTGGAATCATGTGCTGGTAGAACTGGATGGAAATAGCCCCAAAAACTAATTTGATGGATCTGCAAGAGAAAAAGGAGTAACAATATACCTGGTTAGTTGCTCTTCTGTATACATCAAGTGCCCTAACAGCATCATTTCTTTGCATCTCAAAGAACTGCAATAAGGAATAACATTTAAGTTTGATGAGAAAAATCAATCAAATAATATAACAATTCTAGGCAGATTTGACAAACTTATCCAAGGTTGTAAGCTTAAGAAAGTTCACCTTGTCAGCCAGATTGATTGTTCCATCGCTAATCGCAGTATAGATCTTAACACTCTCTAAAGCAACCTACCAGTAATGCACAAAAAAAAACTCAATAAACACCAGGGACCAAAGCCCAGTTATGCACTGCTTAAAAACAAGCACTAAAAGTTAAGACATACAGAAACAAAGAACTAGACATTCATACTAACCATTGAGAGTGCATGCTGGATTATAACATTGTAAGACGACGCTCCTTGTGGCTGTAAAATTTCAGGAATTAGCCAATAGAATTGAAAACTTAAAATGGTATCACATGAAGACGAACTGGTGTAAGTTGTACACACAGTAGTTACAAAAGAGTCATTACTCATTACCTGGCAAGCAAGAAGCCGAAAAAGGAGTTGCTGCAATGGTGGCAGATGATCAAGCAAAGCAACAGTATCAAGATCCTTGGTCCTCTGCAGATACCAGAATTATCCATGTACTTAGAAATACAGTTGCTGGCATTTAATGTTTCTTGACATAAAAAAAAACTTCCATTCCATTCAAGGGGGGAAAACTACTAATCAGCTGCATATATGACAAGCTACTGGAACTCTGACAACATTATAAAATCATGAGTTTACCAAGGAAAACATGAAGTACAGCAGTAGATCACATAATTTCCTTGGTCAAAAAAACATGGATTGCATTTCTGACACCAAAATTTGAAATTTAATTGCTGCAAATAATAGTAACACATTTTTCTTGTGTGGTAGTGGTACCACAAAGTTCACATGGTTATAAACAGAGATTGACTTTTGGGCATATGCATCCACAGACCACAGTTCCTAGATCAGGACAGAGCTGACGCTATAGTGTGTCACACGGCAGTATCTTAAGCAGTGACATTAATATGTAGCTACATGGACTACACCAAATGTTTTCTTCTTAATACAAAGATACGCAGCTCTCCTGCGTGTTGGAGAAAAAAAACTACAGCAAATGTAAAAATGCAAATGAGATTTAAAAACGTTTCGCAAATGAAGGAGATAAAAGAAGTAAGCCTGCATTAGATTACATACCGGAGGATCTGTTTCTACATCATACTTCAACACCCGGAAACATTCAAGCCTCTCCTCTAAATATAAAGCATAAATGCGCACCCATGCAGAATAGTCCCAAGCTGAATGAAACATAATAGAAATAGAGAATAAGTTTTAAATCAGAAATTATAATGCAATAGACAGTACCAGGATAGCACTAAAAACTAGTACCTTCTGCACTAGAGTCATCCTTAAAGTAGGCCATGTTCAACATATGGGACCTAGATCTGCCATAATTAATAAGCTCTTCACGAAAAGTGGGATCAACTTCCCGAAGGGCACGATGAATGACAATCAATGTCTTTAGCGCAACCTGGTGGATAAAATAATCAATGTAAAATGTCCATGAGTACTTTGTAACTACCTTAGTTTCATAGTACCACCCATGAAAAGCATTTAAAATAAGTAGAAGGATTCATGACATTAGTAGTTCAGTAAATAGTATGATAATGTATAGGACCATACCGCCCAGTTCCGCGTCTTCGAAAGACGTCTAGCAAGGGCATGAATGCAATAAGCTACATCTGCTCGTGGCCTAGCAGCAGAAATGGAATGAAAAATTTCTGCAAACAAATAAAGATGTTAGTTGTGGCAGCAGCAAAAGAGGTTGGGCAATTATTGAAGATTTGAAATAAATCACTGCATAATCAAATACAGTTACATGTTTCTAGCAATGAAATATCTGCGATGAGTGAACAAAAATTTCTATATAGCAACTGAGTTTTCATTAACAATGAAAATTTGGAGATTGAGTCATAGGGTGCAGTTCAGGGTTTGAACTAGGACTCCAGCTTAAGAGAGGATATCCCATTACCTCTTATGTACTTCTCCTTTGATGGACGCTCAACATGGTTTGTGGCCTTGACAATTGCAATGTCCAATTCCTGTTATAGGGAAGAATGATAAGTCCACGGTGCGTGCAGTGAGGGTCCGATCATGGAGACTTCCAAATACCAGTACTATTCAGAGGGAACATGAACATGCTTTCACCTTATAATCACTGTTCACTTTTGCCAAGCTCACAGTCGTTGTGTCCTTGAGGGCACCTAGGTACTTCCTGAGGACCGGTTGAGTTCCACCAACAGCCATTCTCCTCAACTCCTAGCTGGTATCCTAGTGGGCCTGAATAGGCAAAGAACCAAGCGTTGGACAAATGAGACGTCTGCTTGTCTTAAACCGAAATGTTATCTATCACAGTGTCAGTGAGAGAAATAGGAAAAACATCGCCTGAATCTTAATCGCGTCTAATTACATCAACAGTCAAAACCTACTGTAGAAGAAATAACTGCTGCACGGCAGCACTTGGATGATAAATGTATGGAGCCCAAAAATGTTTGAGCTTTGTCTTAGGAAAGTAGATAGATGGGAGGACGAAAACAAGCCCTAATTGCACATCACACTAAGTGCCCTGTTCGTTTGGGCTCGATTGGCTTATAAGCCATACTTTTTTCAGCCAACAAACAGTATTTTTCTCTCACACCAAATCAGCCCACGGTACTTTCAGTCATGGCTTATCAACCCAGCCTAGGCGAAGAAACGCAGCAATCAAATAAAATACTGATGAATTATTACAAGGAATTCTACTGCAAGAAACTGTGATCAAAGACTGACAGATTATTAATGACTGAACAGCAAAGGAGATAACACCGACAGAGATCGAAACAAAGTCTGGATTTTACTAAAGCAAAAATGCACAAATATCACTGGATCAAGATGAATTTCATCTAAAACAAATGGATCCAAAATCCAAATGAGGTAAAAACAGGAGGGAACGAAACAGACGAATAAACAACACCGGGAATCTCTGGGCTTGACGAAACAAACAAGACCAACACCTCTGGACTTACCCAACGGACACAGGACAGCAAAATTGGCATAGCGAGTTTCCGGAATATGCCGAGCGTTTGAACAGATCAAACTGAGCAAAATTGGCAAACACGTGGTGAAGGCCATCACGCCAAAACTAAAAAACAGACAACTCACAAGCAAAGCAACTCAAAAGCGTCGGCAGAACCTCGCAGAGTAGCTGCGATTGCAATTCGCAGGAGGCTGACTGACGCTTGTAGCCTCCAGACTCCAGAGTCCGGACAGAAGCAATTTCTATTCTGGTCGAAACAGCCACAGCAGAGGGAGGGAAGAATTGGGATGAGGAAAAGCAAACAACAGATTCCACAAATGGAGCAGAGCAAGGCAAGAATCACGCCCGGATTCTCCGGGCGAGCCACTGAAATCTCAGAATTTCCCGGAAAGGCCAAAACAGAATTTCAAATTTGGCATCCCGGCAATGGATCACGCGACGAGCTACTATCGCATCACCAATCATCCCACTCTCGCACACGCACACAGCACACCCGCCAAATCCACGAGAGGCTCGTCGCCGGATCCAATCCCAATCACGCGACCACGAATCAAGAAGCGACGCACGAGGCCAGCCGCCACCGCAGTGGAATCCAATCCTACGAAGACAAGTCCACCGAGTACTACGGGTTTTCGAATTGAGCTCGGGCCTCGGGGGACAGACAATAGATAAGCGTTTTCACCTTCACGAGCCCCCAGAAAAAGAAAGCTTTTTTTCACCGCCGCCAGAATCGGCAAAAGCAACGCGACATGCCCAGAATGAAAATTTACTCCATCTAGAACCGTAGACTCGCGCTTGCCCCTATGCGAAAGCGAAGCCAAAGCAACGGAAACGGAGCTCGAGCGAACGGAACGAGCACGGGGGTTGAGGTGCAGCTCAGGAGGGAAGTAAACCGAAGAGAGCGAGAGAGAGAAGGAGCAAGGTGAGCTCGGCGCAGCACTCACCTCGGCCGGCAGCAGACAGCAGAGTGCTTGGATGGGATAATCCTCGGGAGCAGCAGAAGCAGGAATCTCCGCCGGGGAGGAGAGGGGCAGAGAGAGGGAGGGAGGCGATAGGAGGAGAAGGAATGGACTGGGTGCGTTCTTTCTTGGCGAGGAGACGAGAGAAAGGGTGGAAGGAGAAAAGAGGAGGGGCGGTCGCTTTCCCGGCTCGGCCAACCCGGAGGCGAACCACCACCCGGTGGCCGGACAGGGACGCGGCACCCAATTAAACAATGCTGCACTGCGCTGCACTGCACGGCCTCTTTGCCACGGTTTACGTCGGCTTTCACTTCGTCTATTTTAAGTAATTCAAGGTACTGTAGTCTAAAGCTGTTTTGTAAAAGCGGAGTTAAAATAAATTAAAAGCCAAAAAAAAATTAATTTTTCTAGCTTCACCGGCGTTGGCTTCACCGGTGAAGCCGTTTTGGATGAGCCTTGCCAAAAGGGCTTTAGTATGCACGTCAAGTTTGCTTTAGCTAGTTACTAATACTACTAGTAGAGTGGTACTAATAGTATATTAGTACTAGTAGTAATCACTAATCAGTGGCGTTCAGGCAGCAGGTTAATAAATCATTGGGGTGTTTAAGCGATTTGATTAGTCTGTATGGTGTTCCTGCATTCCTTTTGCACCGTCCTACTAATGCTAATTTTATTTTATCCCTTTCTGTCCTCGTCCGCTCGTCGGTGGATGCGCCTGGCTGGCCTGCAATATGATTTTATGCTTTTTTTTTTGTTTCCTTTTGCTGTCCTAAAAGAAAGAAAGAAACTTAGTAATATAGTATTATACAGTACTAGCATCACTTACTCCAAATTTCTGTAAATCTAAGAATTAAACTTATACACTAATCGAAAGTAGAGATGGTAACTTCGTGTTGTCGGTATGTTTGGAACACAAGAATACACGATCGATGATTGAATGAAATGAAACAACACGCATGTGTTTCTTATGATAATTCTGTAAAAAAAAAGTTTCCCGTCATCTGAAAATGGAGTATACTGTAATAAAATTCATTCAGCGAGAACTTACGCATCACCAGTGAAAAATCAGTAATCAGCCTTGCTTTATCCGTACATACGTAGTATTCATCACATCGATAAAATATTATTCCGGCTGATTTGTTGTGAGAGAGAAATATCGTTCTGGCTGAAAAAATAAGATGAAAAAGACGGATTATAAGAGAAGCGAATAGGCGTGCGCTTCTCTTATAATCCGAAATAGTATTTTTCTCTCACAACAAATTAGTTGGAACGGTATTTCGACTTATTTTTTCAACGAAACGATGGGGCCAATACGATGACAATAATTTAGTGGTGCATGATTAGGAGGAGGAACCCGATGCGTCACGAGGACAACGAAGATGGGAGTGGCACAGGCGCAGAGGGGATTAGCACCAGGCCACCAGCCAGAGCAGCCAGGTATGTGAGCGGATATTTTATTGGTAGTCCACCGTAGCCGTCAGTTGAGCAGTAGTATAATCTAGTGGTAATAATAATTGGGGGCTCGCTCGAACCGAACGAATTGTGGGTGTTGACTAGGACTAACTTGTCCAGACTTTCCCTTTTCTCCACCGGCGGATTTGCCTTTTTTTTATGGCGCGCCAAGTGCTCCACGTACGTACGCAAGTGTGTGTGTGTGTGATCTTTCAATGCTTTTATTTATAGTTTTATTACATATACAAGATCCATTTAATTTTCCACCTGTGCTGAGTTTTCAAAGTTTGTAGATAGGCGGCCTCGTATGCATGCTTTTTTCTGTTCTTTGTTGGCAAATGGAAGCGTCAAGTTTGCACGGTCAATAAGAAGCATTTTAGCATAATTGCTCAGCTCAGGATCTCGTTTAACTTGGACGGGAAGCAAGGAACTTGTTGGGGACCTTGGGGTGACTTTCTTTTACACCTTCACCTCGTCAAGAAACACACCACGATCCTGAGTTTTCATCGTCGTGTCGCGGCCAAGGCCTGCGATTGCAGGGTGTAGGCTGCGAAAGGGGCATCTTTACCTAACTCCAGCTGCCTCTTACTAGTTTGCATGTGGGTTGGCGAGATGATTACCTTAGCTGAACCAATAATAATAAACAAACAAAGGAACGAAAGGTTGCTGTTACCGTACGTACCATATGGCAATTGGCAAGGCGAGACGGGCAAGGCATCCACCACTGTCCTGCCTGTCGCAGCAGGCAGCAGCTAGATCTCGGCAGGCGTCGCCGACATTCTCTGATGGGCTTCTCTCCGTCCGATGGCCCTCAGGCCCTGTATTTTGGCAGGCTTCACAAACAACGATCAGGGCTGCTTCTTGCATCCGTGAGGCTGGGACACTGAGAGAAAAGGGAAAGTGATCCCTGCCCTGCTGCGTGTGTTGTCATGAACCATGTCGAATCATATGGGCAGTGTGCCCTGCTGCGTGTACTGTGTAACATGCCAGTGTGCTCGTCAGTGTAGGTGACGGTAGTACCTCTTGGTCAAGTCGCCAAGTCGGCAGTTTATGGAGGGCGTCAAGTCGCCAAGTCGGCAGTTTATGGAGGGCGATACGGCGTGAAGAAGGCTTAGCCAGGGATTCTGAGCAAGGAGCTGGAGGAAGAAAGAGGAAGAAGAGAGCCAGCCCTGGCTGTCGAGCTGGCTTCGTCGCTGTGCAGCTGGGTGCGTTGTTTGAAGACACGTTCACGAAAAGCGTGGTCTGTAGACGGCGAGAAAGATTACTGTGTGCGTGCGGCTGTTATTCCTCCCTGTCCCTGAACAGCACAGCTTGTCTTGGTTACCGAATGGCCTCCCATTCCCAGTCAAAGCAACGCACCGGGGACGACGAGACGAGTCCATGGGCTGGCTATTCGCCTATTCCATTCCATTTCCATGTCCCTGTTCGTATCCCTATATGAGTATGACCTGTCCAGATCATCCAGCTTAGCGTTAGCGACGGCTCTGACGAGTGACGACGATCTAGAACTAGAAGACGGCCCTGATGGCGACGACCCGGGTGTTGGAAAACCTCTGAACCGTCTTGGGTTCTGGAAGAAGATAATGTTAAGCGCTCTCGAGGAACGTCACTGCTGCTGGTCAGCATTAGCAAGCGGTCATCCTTAGCCGGCGTAGAAATATAAGCACAGCCGGAGCCGGACATTCGCGGCAGTGAATGGTTCAGCCGCCGTGGACTGTGGTTTAAAAAGCCCTGACTGGCTGCTCCGTTCCACGGTCCGGATGCTCGTGGCAGCAGTCCGTTTTCTGTCTGACGCCGGCGTCTGCTTCTTCTAGGAAACC